ACCAATCACCAAATGTGCAAAACTAGAATAAATCTTCTGCAGAACATGGAATAATACTTCGCCATATGTTTTGTCTTTTGTGCAATCTCGTTTTTTGTTTTTGTTTTTTTGCTTTTTTTTCGTTTTTTTTTTTTCCCCATTTTTCTTTTTTTAGGAATACGTGCAGTGGCCCTAAGGGCCTCTATTCACCACATGCACAAAAGACAAAACATATGGCGGCATATTAATCCATGTTCTGCAGAAGATTCATTCTAGTTATGCACATTTGGTGAGTAGTGCAGCCAAGCTCTGAGAATCACGTGCAGAGACAGCTACGTGAGCAACCCATAACTGCTGAAACACAGGCCTGAATTCGAATTTTGACTATATATTTGGCCAGCTCGTGCTCACCTTCATGTTCACTGCCTGCCTTGATTATGGTGGGGGGATCTGTGCCACACGGCTACGACGACCCTTCGGACAGCCTGCATGGGCCGTCTGAGCAGTATTAGGGGGATTTCAACCACCCCCCCCCTCGAGAAAAAAAAAAGGAGCACTCACATATTGTGGGGGATGACGCAGTAGGGGGGGTGGGCCTCCGGGGGGGCCCTTTTTTTGCACTTTCGGGTTTTGTTGAAAGAGGCCCACCACCCCGTAGTCCACGGCGTGCGCGTGTGGCCCCCGGTGTCTCGTTCAAATTTTTTGCGCCACGTGGCGCGCAGCGCGTTTGAACGCGTTTGAAAGTGGCCGCGAGGGGTATGAACGCGCGCGTTTGAACGTGAACGCGCGTTCAGCGCGTTCACTCGGTTACACAGGTCTGCTGGAAGTTGACGTCATCGTCTCGTTCTCATCTGGTCTTCAGCTCACCTTTCCCCTCTCTTGTCATATCATAACATTGAGCAACTCTCGCTGGGATGAAAATGCACGCTTCAGTCTCGCCGCCGACCAGTAATCAGGTTTGCTGAGTGTCAAGTAGTGATAGAAGGAGGAGTGACAAGCTGAGTAGGCGAGCTGCTGTCGGGGAGAGTGGGTTGAGACTGAGCAGCTAGGGTCCGGTCCTGCTACTTCTCTTCCCTGTTACGAGAGGCAAGAGAAGAAGTTGCGCACAACGCTTTTAATGACAAGAGCGGAGTTGTGGGGGAGAAGCCGATTTGTCTCTCCCTAAAAATGGGTGATCTGATGTGGCAAGGTTAATGAGAGCAGGCTTTTGTGAGAAAAGCTCTCGGTGTTATTCCGCGAGAACAACGTGACAAGAGTCATGGGAGAATATTGAATGAATGTTAGTGGCGATGGTACTGGTGTGCCTTGTATGTCGAGTATGTGCATAAGAGCGTGTCCAATGCCGAAACGAGGAGATAATCGGTTAATGGCTTTGCGAGCTCAGAGTCAACTATTTGGAGTAAGGGCTTGAAAGGGGGGAAATGAGGGACGACGCAACGGGATGTTGGGACGAGTGAGCGTTCGAATCGAAGTTGTGTGAGAGAAAGGAGGGGCGGTATCATCTAGAGAGCCCCTGATGCTGCCACACCATTCCTTGTTTGGCGCTGCCCCTCTCATCTTCTGCTTGCGCAAACGTGATAGTGAGAGAAAAGACGGTCTAGAACAGACTAACTGTCATTAAGTCTCATTACTGTGTAAGGACACGGCATTTTGTCGTTATACTGTATCGGTTAGCTGTTTGCCAGTTGCCCGCTATCTCAGTCAACGAGACTTGCGATGCTAATCGTGAGTGAGAGAGAGAATTGAGTTTTCTCTCTTGGACAGTCGCGCGTCGACTCTTAATTGGTACATTTGTACCCTCCTCTCTTCGGGTGAAGCAAAAAGAGAAAGTCACTGTCAAACTCCTGCTTTTGTTTATGATTGGCATGAGAGAGCGGGAAGGAATGACGGTTTCATGCATGTCCGCCTGGGATGTTTCTTGTGTCCTGACTTTAACTGGTTATCTCAAAGCTGAGATCTGAGCAAAGTAATGGTTAATCACGTACTGACTGACCGTTGACTCTGTAAGGTACGTGAATGTGGGCTTGTTATTAGTCAGTTGGAAGCAAGGTTTCCTTGGATGACCTGTCTTTGCTTTTCTTCTTTCTTGCCAACGACCTGTGAAGTTTGAGATACCCCACCAGTTCAGGGGATCATGAGCCTTGGGTCACGAAAAGTTAGCACCGAACAGATGAGTGAGGCAGTTGCTCGTGTGGTGACTGTTTACCTCGTAGACTCTTGTCTGTTCAAGACTGTGGGGTCAATCACTCGCGTGGCATTCAATCGATGAAACACCGCCAATCTGATGTCGTCAAGATCTTAGGATTAATCAGTAAAACTAATAAAACGAGTAAAACATCTGCATGAGGGAGAATTTGTCTATTTCCTCCAAACGCCAGAGAGCAGGCTCCAGTCAACGACTATCCCCAAAGAAAAAGGAAAAGAAAAAGGAAGGGGGGGGACGTCCGCGGGGGTGAGAGTCATATGCCTGAATCGATAAGGGTTAATAATGCATGATTATGTGTTCTGTTTTGATGGGAAAGAGGGAGGCAGTGCTGAAAAAGGTGACATATCTCTTGGTTAAATTCCTTCTCGACGGAGATTAATAATAAAGAAAAATTTATGCTTCGCCTCACTCGTCCGTACGAAGGAATACTCGGCCTACTCCAACCCTTCTACAGAACATCAGGAAACTGTGTTCTGCATCCTCAGTTGAGACTACTCCCTGATGGCTCGAACTACACTATGATGCACCCGTAGAAGGATGACGGGTAAAGGCCACTAGTCAGTCCTTGTCTGCCGAGAAAACGAACTTTTTCACAGCCTGAAAACGTTACTGAGTTTACGATCCTCATCCGCGAATATTTGGTCACTAACGTTGGTATTACTACGAACAGCTTTCGGGATTGGTCCAAGGATTTTCACTGTATAGTCGTTGGGTGTTTCGCCATCGGCACACTTATCTAACCCGCAAGTGTCAGATCCATTCTATAGGAGGCAATTAAACTGAGACTCAACAATCGACTCAGTACATGGGGGCATTATAGCCATCTTTTAATTGGCTGGCCGATTGAGTCACCTGGGGTTTTGATGTGGCCTGCTGATCGGAGTCCTCGGAGCAACAATGCTCGATGCTCCGTGCTCAGGGTTTAGTCCGAGTACCTCTAGTCTACATGGAACAGGAAATTCAGCCATCAAGGAGGGGTTAATCCTTGAGAGTCGCGAACGATCCTGCGCAGAAGTCTGTGTAAACCCGGGCTGGAACTGGGTTCTGAAGGGGATTTACCACAGAGTATGAACGTATGCTCAGACAAAATTATCATGCTCAACGTTATAGACACGAAGGGGTCATACCAGAAAAATATCGGAGGGTCCATACTATTGGAGTAAACAACGAGATTTATTTACCGAGACATTAAGAATGGGCAATTGATACTGTTCCATACCCTGTGGAGTCCCAAGGTAGAGACTGACGGCGAAACCCTCTCCGCATCCAGAGTGCTAACGGGATAAGCTGAGAATCAGACCAGGAAAAAGTATCTAGAGATACCCTGTACTAAGTGAAGACTGTGAGAGAGGACTCTGAAAGGGGCTAAGGCACTGAGTATATCCTGTGTCTCCTTGGAATGGATAGGAAACCACACGACATTTTGTTTCTCTTTCATTGAGTCCACTATTTCAAGCATGAGGTGTCTTCAAAGGCAAATGGCATGAGTGAAAATAGGAGGCTATCTCATGAGAAACTTATGTAA